CATTGATAATTCTCTGCAAACAATTATGATCTGTTTTATGGGTGCTTACAGGTATTTTAATGTTTTCTATGTCAATACAATGTTGTAAATCCTTTAAAGCTGGTTTGATCTTACCGTGGAACATAAAGGTGATGGTTACTCCCTATGTCTAGGGTCTCTTTTCACTCTTATGTCTCCTGGAACAAAATAGAATACTGTTATAAATCTCTAATTCCTAGTTGGTTAAACCTGTGTGCATTTGTGAATATTTTTGTAGGAAATAATTGTATTTGCTACTTGCAGGTTGTTTAAAACATGCATCTGAAACATTCTTTCCCCATCGTTGTTACCATTCATCTCCCCATATCTGTAGTACCAACTGCATTACCCAATTCATCTGGATTGCCTTCTGTGACAGTTTTAAAATCTTTGCATCACCCTTAGTTGGCCTATAGGAGATAAAACCTTACCATCTAACATTTCTAACATCATACTTCTTTGATTCATAAACTCCAATTCCTTATATCGTTTTCTATCACAATCTCATTATATCACTAGTCACAAGACACCCGGCTCCAACTCTGGCTCTTTCCTTTTCCACATTACTAGAGTAAAAGAAAGGTGTGGTCTTTGAATTTCGAGTTTTGAGTTTCTTCAAAGATCTTCTTAGATTCCATGACAATGAACACCTATCGGCATTATAGCTTGGTTAGTACTTTTTGAATTTATTGTAAAAGGCTGTGGGGAGGTTTTGAATGGGTAATGGAAAGGCTATCTTGGATACTCCAATATACATGCTATGGATTAGAATGGTGTAAGAGATCCCTGCCGACTACGCATGCGACATACGCCCGTTCTCGTACTATTCGGGACCGCGCTATTCCGCGCATGCGCAGAAGCGGTCAACTACCAGCACGGAAACGCACCATAGTGGCGCACAGGAAGTGACTCATCACAGCTATCACTTCCCCTATATAAGCTCAGCCACAGCACCACCATGTTGCTGGATTATCGTCAGCTATCCCCTGTTCCTGTGATTCTGTTATCCTTGCCTGGCTCTTTGATACCCGGAATTCCTTGACGACTCTTGATTGCTGCCTGCCCTTGACCTCAGAACTGTTCTTTTGACTATGCTTTTGCCTGACCCCTGTGTACCTCCATTGCCCGCTTGGAACTAACCTCGGCTCGTCCCCTCGGATTACGGCTTGCACGGTGCTCAACACCACTGGCACTCCTGCCACTTGTTGTCCTTCTAGTCTCTGTTCTCAACCCCAGAGTCCCCCAGGACACCAGGTGCAAGGGAAGCCTCCTCTCACATCTGGTTTCCAACAAGGTATGTTACAACTGGATAGGGGATGGTAGATTTAAATGTATATGTGGGAAAACAAGAGGACTCCCCCAGGTGATATTTGTTGAGGGGGTTTTATTTGAGATCCCCATGTGTTTAGACATGGGAGTTGCATGTCTTGGATTTTTAAATACTTAAGCAAGTATTGGTACTAGTCCCCTCTCAGGGATTTGTGTATTCTTTTGATTTTTTTAGTGTGCAAGAGGTGCTGTCTGGTGGTGTTCTTCTGTCTCCTCCCTAAGTATGTTGATCCCTTTGTGGCCCCCTGAAGGGAATTGATGTCTTGACTCTGTGCCGTTACCAATATTGATCTATATCCAGCTGGTCTCACAGTAAGCCATAATCACAATTAATACATAATTTACAATTCCTGAATGTTATTTAATAATGAACAAATATGTATATATTTTTTGTAGTTTGATGGATTTGTTCTTCTGTGGAAGCCCACTGGGTGAAACGCATCGAGGACCTTTAAACACAACACTTTGGAATGGAATGGGAATATACACCATCAATGTTAATTGCAACAATACACTACATTAGTGGTCAGTAATTCACAAAATTGGTTGTAAAGACCAAGACAAGATTTGTCATTTCAAATGTTTGGTCTGGTGTTTTGGTTCAAAAAGTCCCCATTTTCTATTGATAAAAATAGGTTTACACCTATCCTATATGATTCTGAAAACATTGAATCGATTGTATCAGTCCGTGTGCCTAATCTTTCAGTCTAATGTCCCCTATATTGGTTATATATACGTATACGCACCCTAGAGCCATTTTAAAATGAGGAATTATAAACAGCAAAAACTTGTTAAGTTGTTTATTAGATAATCTGTCATAAGTGCGTTACAAAGTATATAATATTGTAGAGTTTTTTTTATTTCTCGTTGCTTCAAGCAAAGAATATGAAAGCTACCCAAGCTGTTTTAGCCTGATTAAACATCAGTCTTGTGTCTATGTGGTAGGCAACAAAACTCTCAGTAAAACATTGATTAGAAAAGGTAAAAAACAAACAAACTTGTACTGATATATATTGTTATCTGCTGAGATAAGCAGCACTAGTTGACTACTCTCATTTTAATCTTTCTCTCTCCACTGCTTTCCCCATTGACATAATCAGGAATGTTCGGCTGAACTCAATGTTCTTTTTCAAGGTGTCTTCTGTCCACTCAGTTGCCAAAGAATAGTGGCAGCATATCCACTGAAGTTTGTCATAAGGCCCGGGGTGTGTTGGAATACAGAGATGCATATAGTGTCATTTTCTGCATGAAGTAAAAGCTGCAGCTCTCTTTAATTAAGCAGGAAAATAAACTATCTTTAGCTTTCTGCCCAAAATAAACTCTTCTCTGTCCATTCTGGTATATATGTATCCTTGGCAGTAAAAAAAGTTCTATTGATAAACTATCAGTGCAAATGAGTCATATTTGTCCTGTCCAGCCTGATCCATTAATTCCATTTTCCAAAATTCACCTGGGAAAGTGGAATTACTTTTTAACCCTCTGTGTATGACCTGTCCACTTTCCACAAAGGGGTAATTTGGGGGTTTTCATACTGTCACTCATTTTTTGTGGCTATATTGTGTAACACAAAGTAAGGGAAACAGATTTTTGGCTCAAAAAAAATATAAAACATTCATTGTGGTACACTACGCATGAGTAATTCATTGTTTTTTTAAATAATGTTTTATTGTTTTAAAAATTAATATGTAATAATAAAAATTTTAAATTGTAACAAATTTGTCATTTCAAATGTTTGGTCTGGTGTGTTGGTTTAAAAGGCCTCAATTTTCTATTGATAGGAAAAAAATTTGCACCTATCCTATATGATTCTTTGAAAGGGGTGTAGACGAACAGACCTCCCTCCCCTGATCACTATGTCTGCTTAAGACAGTGAACACCTTTACTTTATATTTCTTTATTTTGCAAATTAAACTTACATGCTACTAAAGCATCTAGCATTCCATGTTCTGCAAGACAGTGCCCTCAAACCTTGTAGCTCATCATCTGTAAAAATCTATCTATCTAATAATTTTTTATTATTTTCATAACATTATTGTGAATCTGTAAAAATACACTTGAGAAGCCCTGATACAGACAAACACTATCACATTTCAATGATATAATCAAAAAATGTCAGGGTTTTTTTCCCCTAGGGGGTTAACTTCACCATCACCACTCTAATCTTCTAGACTGCTATTTGTCTGACATAAGTGGCTCAAGCAGAAGCATGAGCTCCTACTGGCATTTAATATACAGTATCTGCCAGTTAATTGAGAGAGTCCAGGATATGTGGCATTCCTTTCAAAACTGAGAGAATTTTGGCCAAATTGGAGACATTTTGTGGGCTCTGTTTCATAAATTTTAGAGTTTCATTCTACCAGAAGCTTTTTTCTGAAATTGTGATTACAGCGAGATTCAAAGACCCTACTAAATCCTTTATATAACAAAATCTACACTGCACTATGCCATCATACCTCCCTAGATATTAAAACTAAAGTGCATATATCCATTTTAAATAGTTAAAGTGCAAAAACACCTTCTAAATCCTTACTGTTGTCCATTAAAACATCAGGAAGACCTCCCACCCACACCTTGTCCCTTTTTCACAGCACTGCTGTAATCTTACCTTCATCACCTATCTTCATTTTGGCCTAGTAAACATCCCTCATGGGGTAAACAATGCCTTACTCCAACCAAGCAAAATGTATATTGCCTCACTATAAAAGTGGACAAATAATCTTATATTTGAGAACAACCATTTTATAATTTTCTAACAAAACCAAATTAACATGGTTAAGTATATAGACTAACAGCTATAATTTCAAAGAAAAATCAAATGGTCAGAAATTAAAATATGTGGCACTGTTGACCAGACTAAACTCAAGGGTGCATGAAAGCCAGATTTGTTATGGCAAACAGTTTTTTCAGGTAATTAAATATTGTTCATGTAAGCTGAACTTTAGCTACCTGGATCCACTATCAATGGCATCACTGGCGCCTCTTTTGGTGATGGAGTCTTGTCGCTGATCATTGTGAGGTGGATGCTGCAAGAAGTACCCTCCCATAGAAAAACTGGGATGCAGCCTGTTACATGATCGCAGTTAAAAGTACGAAATTGGGGCTTTTAATCAAAAAAATGCTTTTATAATAAAAGCTACAGTTTGCCTAAAAGTGGTCATGTTTAATGTTTATTACAGCACTACTAAAAACAATAAAATAAATACATAAACTTCAAGAAAAAAATCACAGAATGACATTGTACAAATATATTCTTTACAACCTTTGATAGCTAAGTCTGTCATATACATAAACCTTTAAACTGATAGTGAAGCAACTATTATTTACTAGCCATTCACTGTAGACATGTGCGATTCATTTCGTTACAAATCGAAATTCTCTGTTAGCAAGCAGTAGATATATGCAAATCCCTGCTGAGAGTTGCATTACAATACAAGCAGTAAATACGAAATATCAGTTACGAATTACGAAATACGAAATAACGGATATTCCGAAACGAAACAGAACAAATTTTTTGACGGCGCACAAGTCTAATTCACAGTGAGCTGAAAATATTAGATATATTTAGTTTGCCAAATCTCATATTTCAGTTTTAGAAAAAAACGGTCTACATTTGTCGACATAAAATCAGAATACTATATAAATCAAACACTCACAGGGGCAGAAGGATTCTTCACAGTAACACTGGGAGTTGTAGCACGTAGAGCTCCACTCACTCCATGATAATACTTAAAGCAGATCTTTGTTTCAGCTGGAAGAAAAAACAGACTGCTTTAATTAATGGAACTGGGAAGATTAAAAACATAGGATAATATTATATGACAAGAAATAGTAGGCTAATACACAATTGCAGTCAATGTTATTGATTGTTATTTCTAGGCATATCTCAAAGATGAAACGAAGACCTGCAGTCTTTATGCACCCTAACACCAAATATGAAGGTACAGTGGTTTACAGGCCCTTCTTGTATGTGCTAAACAACAAAGTAGCCAATCACTGATTAGAGAGCGTCTGGTGCATGTGTATCTCACCCATCCTGTTGGGACAGTCATGAGCAAAGCCATTTTAACAAAGGAGTAAAAATACATGTATTTTGCCTCAGACCCACCAGACGAGTCAGCTAGCTCACTTACAAAATAATAGGACTTGATGGACTGATGGTTCCTGATAGAAAACATATCTAAGACTTGATGTACTGGAAAGCAACTGGTTGTTTTAAAGAAGTGGGTACCCTTTTTTGAATAATGCTACCAATAATTTTTTAGTACAGGTGCAAAACCTGCTCTCCATTATCTGGTGGGCTCAAATTATGATTAGCTCCCACACAAAGGCAAAGTTTCATACTGGATTACTGCACAGATCAGGAAAAACACACACAGCACACCAAGATTCCAGTAAGAATACACATGCATGCCCCTTGTATTTAGACAATATAGCTTATCAATCAGGGTATCCTAACTGCTCGTTGCATGAATGCACAAGCCCAGAATAGATTGCACCGGTCTGATATCTTTATGGTTGCTGTAAGCAGCTATATTTGGCACATCATACCTAGGGATGGGGTTGGCTTCAACTCAGGAAATCTATGATAAGCAAATCCTGGAGAGAGATTCAATTTAAAATTATTCACAATATACTGTCTACTAACCCCAACTCCATGTGGCTGACAGCTTGCACCAAATGTAAACACCCCCTTGCTGGCATTTCCCATTTACTTTGGTCCTGCCCCACTATACAGACCTATTGGTCCAGCATAATCACATATATAAACACATGTTCGAATAAAACTAGCACTTTGTCTACGGCCTACTGCCTATTCCACGCTCTGCCCCTGGAATCACTAGCTAGATCCTCCTTTATTTCTCGCTGGGACCATTTCTGTCTTTTATCAGCAAAAAAAACTATATTAACAAATTGGATATCATCTGATGCCCCATCACTTCTAACTTTTTACATCAACCTACACCGCCTTATGCTGTTTGACAAATTAGATATTAAACTTAAATAACAGCAAAACTAAAAAATGTTTTTATACATGGATCTCATTTCTGAACTAACTGTACAACAATTACGAGTGATGACCATCTTTCAATACTCCTCATGATATCTCATGGCGAAATTGACAAATTCCTTTAGGTCAACTTGATGTCCTTTGACTTTACTTAGTCTCTTCCCTTTTTATTTATATTTATATTTTATTTTATACTGCCTCGTCTCCCCCTTCTCTCTACTTATAATGATGTCAACTCTCTGTGTATATTCGATCTGTAACACCATTGATAGTCCTCTTGAAAGTTGTTATATAATACTACTTAGATTCTCATTTATTGATAGCTTTAATTATTAGTCACCTGCCTTGGGACAGTTTGAAGATCAAAGACTGTTCAATATACATTGCTTACAATCTTCTTTCTGAATATTCTTGAATGTATATCTAACTGATATTGTATACTTTTGCTTATTTTATTCAATAAAAATTTACATGCTAAAAAAAAAAATATTAGTTCTACATGAACCCAAACTGTTCACAGTTCAATGAATTGGTGAATAAACTGGTCATATTTTGCCAGCTTGCCCGTCCACCCTAACATCCAACTGATGAGGCCAGACGCCTGTCCTTTAAGAACCGAAGGACTATTGCAGCTATATTACATGACAGAACATTGCCAGCTTTTGTAAATAAGCTAGCATTGGCTTGTTTAAATACAGAAGCCAGTGGGATCTTTTAGTTGCATCAGGAGTAGTGGTGGGTGAAGATTTGCTGCGGCGGGTCATCATGGAGACGAGTCGACATTGTTGGGCTTCGCATACTGTAAATGAGAAGGATCTAAATAGCTGGATGACATGATTGATGTCAGATTTACAAAGGAGGCATTGTTTATTTATTCTTTAAAATAAGGTGGCCTCCAGACACTCCCCCCTCCCCACTTGAATGAGTATGGGATACATAGTACCCCTTGTTACTGATTCAGCAAAAAATCAAAGTAGTGAACACAAACACCTACACCATGCAGAAAGACCTTTATTACAACAATATACAAATTAAACCATGTCCCCTGAGGTAAATCCAACGTCAATCATGTCATACAGTGACGTAGCTCCATGTCAATCATGACCTGCAGTGCTTGACGATCTTCATCTGCCTCTACTTCCCTTGCAAACAACAGATCCCCAGTGCTTCTGGAATGTAAACACAGTAGCAGTGACTTTATTGACCAGATATGGCCATGACCAAATTTGATCAAGCCCAATTATTTACAGACAAGCTTCCACTAAATGACACATTGCTGTTTGCTTTTAAAGGAGTGCAGCCTACTGTTCAGCAACTTCATATGCAGGTTTAGGCCATACCTAAAGCAGGAAAGTGAAATGCGTGTATTTGTGTATCCTAAAGAAGCTCCGGGCAATTAAAAAATGAACCCTTGCAGTGGGGCTACCCCCACACTGCAAGGGTTAACTGCTTGATTTTGTGTAGGGGCTTAAAAATGCAGCATCAGCCGTGATTCACGGGTCCTTAGACTGCTGGAGTCCGGTGGAAGAAGAGGCTGCGTGGACTGGTCTTACAGCCAAGCAGTCTTGAGGATCAGGTGAGTATATCTTCTTCATTTTACTGCTTGTAAACCAAAACCAAAACCAAAACGAGCAGTTAACACTTGCAGTGCATTTTAGATTGCCTGGAGTTCATCTTTAAGATACACAAATCATTTAAATAACATGCTTTAGGGATGGCTTAAACCTGCATGTGAAGTTGCAGAACAGTAGGATGTACTCCTATAGAAGCAAACAGCAACCAGGGATGTGTCATTTAGTGGCAGCTTGTTTGTAAATTATTGGGATGGGGATCCTGGGAGACATTATTGACCAATGTATGCTGCAATAAAAGACTATCTACCTGCTGAACAGTATTTCTTAAAAATATTTTTGCATTGACACGTCCCCTATGGCAGTGCCCAGCTATCCATGTCCTTTTTTAACAAAAGTTTGCAAACTGGCCTTGAAAGAGGATATAAAAATGAACAACATTCGACTCCCATAGACTTCAATTGGGTTTGGTGCTATGTTCAGATTTAGTGTTTTTTTTCCTGAGTGCGTTGAATCTTCGACGTCCTGGACTTTGCCCAGTTCCCTTATCCCTAATTGTGCCATTATAATGAAGGAAACTGAAACAGGACTGGATCTAATAGGGTATTTTTCTGCAAAGGACCAGGGGTGCTACTTAAAAAAATCCTTTAAAAGAGATAGATGAAAAGAGAAACAATTAGGAATTGTAAGGTGGTATGTGCAGCTAAGCCAAAGTAAAACTAAAAGCTAGTCGATTTTTACCTTAATGCATTCTCTGCATTAAGGTAAAAAATGCCCAGTACCTTTTTGTGTCCCCCGTCCTCCCCCCACACTTACCTGTGTCAGCGCTGTCACCACCGCAGGTCCCCAAAGCAATCCTCCGTTCCCCGAATGTCCTGGTTGCAGGGGAGGATACTGAGGCCATCAGTCAAAATGTTAGGAGGAGAGGAGGGGCGTGGCCTCCTGCAGGGCAATGTTGGGACCCACTTGAAAATGAGGAATTGAAAAAAAACCCAAAGATCTGTAAAAATGCGGGCTTCCCATTCATAAAAAAAACAGAAAAAAACCTAGCGGTTTAATATCACTTTAGCTGCAATTAGTGTACAGTATGCAAAATGTGTGTTTTTGTTGTTTTGTTGTTCACTAATTTTTTGTAATGCTTAACTTGTGATAAGTTATTAGAAAGCAACTAAAGAACTTTTAATTTAGAATTAAAAGGTGGTAAGACACAGAAATATAGATGAAAATAAAAGCAATTCAAGTTTGACTCTGCTCTTAGTTTTTCAAATGTATAGCATTTACTGCCTATTTTAAAATTGCTGCAAGCATTTAGAAATCATGTATGTCTTACATAATCCAATAAAGAAGTTTTAGGGGTTCCGCTAATCATTTAGCCTGGGCACTGTACAGTGTAACTGAGGAGGATGTGATTTCTAGTCAATCATCCCTCACAGTTTTTCCATGCCCAGACAATCACATACCTCACACACATTTCCCCTTAAAGAAGCACCAATAATTATTTTCCTACCCCAGATTTCTGCTGACAGAGCAGTTCAATGTGGGATACATTAGTATGTGCCAGGTCAGATTCCTCTCTGTGGAGAGAGAACACGCTGACAGTGATCAGTGCTGGTAACACATATGAGTCTCAATGCAATTCCAAGAAATTTATATTTTATCTCTTTCCCTGCCACCGACATGAGGCTTATGGCGTAACACGACTGTTTCCAGCTGGCCAGCTCAGTATGCCTTACATCGGTTGCTTTCTCCCTGCTGCTATAAACTTTAGCGACCATGAACTTATATCAGAACGGTTCCCCCGACGGCCTCCTTTGAAATAATAGCTGTCATCGGCGGCTGAGGAGCATTGGTAAATATCTGATATTTACCAATCCTCTGTGTGCAGGACAAACACTGGAGTGATCAGCTGATGAACTCAGTAAATTTTTATCTTTGAGATTTAGTCAGAAAAGTATTTTTTGGTGCACCGATACTGATTTTAGTGTGCTTTTATCAATTGAATTGTGTATTTTTAGCGAAAACAATCCAAATAAAGTTGCCTACAGATATATTCACCCGCACTCCTAAGGTTGCTATTTACTCTACAGGCCCCTTTCATATACTGTATTCCTGCTGCAGTGTGGTGCTTTAACGAATGCCAGTTAACATGCATTGCAATAATAATAGCTT